CTTCACAGCAAAAACAATGTGAATGTTACCTTTACAGTGTTTTGCTGTGAAGTTTCAAATGTAAAAATAGTGTTTCACGAAAACAATATTGTCTTACATGATCCCCAGTCTCTCTCTCTCTCTCTCTCTATATATATATATATAGAGAGAGGGGATGAAAGACAATTCCTCCAACATAATGAACTTCTAAACTTGTGATACATGGAATGGTGGAAGTGAAACTTGGCTCGATTTAAGGTGGATTTGGTGATGATTTACCAATTTGTGGTATATAAACGTTGGGTTGTATTTCAAAGGAAATTAGTAACGTTTCTCGAGAAGAATAGTGAAATTAATAGTAGGTTTCAATTTCATTTGATGATGGAATATGATCGATATATCATCTTTTGTGATGTTTATTTGTTGGTCAATTTGAAGTTTCCTACTCAATTGATATGTTCATCATGGTCCAAATATGACACTAAGATGATAATTCCAGTTAACGATATAGCCATAGACAAATGATATAGTGTTTGCATACGTCCAAAGTGATGAACACCCCCATAGAAAGAAACACACCTGCCCGAAGTAGCGCAACCATGCCCACTCTCGCCTATCTGAAGTCCCTCCCCAAACTCATCTTCCGAGGAATAACCAGGATTTCTCGAAGCAACCCCCCAGGTTCCAGAAGAAACTCACCATCAATGTAGTCAGGTCAGGATCCTAAGTCGTGGGTGGTGTTACGCCAAGGTGAACCGACCCCTAATCCATGTGTTATGAGGTTGGCTGAAGCTTGGTAAATAAGCAAATCATGAATAACTTGTGTTTCTTAGACATGGTATTTATAAGTATTCAGGTTGAAGGCCGGTTTTGGGCTTAGATCGTGTGCCTTTTGTCTCATGCTTATCAACTGGGTGTTGGTGTATATATGCCCAAACCCTTATTATCAGATGATTCTGTTTGAACATTTGTGTCATGATAATTAATAAAAGGCATTGCCTAATTATTATATTTATGTGTTATTGTGTGTTACATCTGAACATAATATTAACCTTAAAACATTGTATTCTAAAATGTCCATAGTCAAATATTAGTTCAGGTTTAGGTTGAATTAATATGTTACGACTAGTATATGCAAGGATTCATATGAAGATATAAAATCTAGATATAGGTACAAGATGAGATCTTGTATACTGGATGTGACTCACTATGAGAACGCTTCATTGGATGCCATATGAGTATTTATAGAAGATTCTCACGTGGTCATTGTACATATAATCATTTGATATGAGATCATGAAAGTTACTCTCTGTGAGTGATGTACTTTGATAACTGATTCTAAACATTTTATACATGGGTGTCAGAATGGTTGTTGGGTAGATCGTATATCACTTAATAGTACTAGTATGGATCAAGATAATATTTGTTCCTCTTAGATGACACAAATGATATATCGAGCCCCTCAATTCAATAGTACTGAGGAAGTGCATGCATGTTTAGATAGTTGGTATATGATACTGACATCTGTTTTATCACTATATTCCAAAAACGAGAAACTAAAGATAAGATATAACGAGAAGGACACCTTCATGCCTCATTTCAATCTGAATATCGAGAACGAAGGGACATAAATGTGTATATTGATAATGATCACATAGTTTGCTGATTATCTGAAATACCAAACTTTATCATTCGGGTAATGATGATGTATTGATAGATGTCA